TATAATGCTCGTGCCGTCCAGAGATTCTGAATATCAGGTGCCGGAGCAAAGTTGCATACCTTCATCTATGCTATAGTCTAAACTCCTAGTATCCCCCTGAATAAGCCCTATAGTAGTCCCTTATATAAACCCCTTTATATCCCCCTTCAAGGAGTTTAGAGAATGCCTCACATGAACCCTAAACCCTAAACCCTAAACCCTGAACCTTGCGCCCCCAAGGCCGGTACATCTGTTGCAGCCCTGGCACTTTGGCGAGTCGGGCTTCACCTTACAGTTTATGTGGGGGGTTTCCTAAAAGTAGGGGTACCTATTTATGGTCCCCATAATAAGGACTGTACTATATTGGGGTCCCCTTATTTTGGGAAACTACCATGTTTTGGGGTTCAAGTTGGGGAAGGTTCCATACTGGACCAGCAAGGTGTCCTTCAACCTGTTATCGTGTGCTTGCTTTGCCACTTCAAGGTACCCCATCTACACCTGTAGGAGCAGTCATCTTGATTCTGGCCTAGCTCCAGGCAGAGTTTGCTGCCTGGCAGCATGCCACTCCAGCCCATTACAGCTCCTCTCTTTGCTCTTTTCAGTGCCGAACGGGTTGGAGCTCAAGTCTCTGAAAAGCTACCTGTCAATTCTGAAAGGCTCCCTGGGAACATAACCCTATATATAGCAGTTTCCATTTCATTTTCCATTTTCTTTTCCATTTGATTCTCCATGCATTATTAAGGGGATTGTGAGGTACAATCCCCATTCATAAGGTGCTTGAGGTTGCCACCCTGCAACCTCTGCAGACGATGCGGCGCTCGATCTCCGCCTTGTCTGGGTGTTTTCCGTCTCACGAAATTTTCAAGGAAGGCAGCTTGACGAACATGCTGCCCTACCCAGTCTCGGGCCTTCCTGTTGCCGCCATTGTAGAGGTCTTCTAAGCTGACCTTAGTCTCAAGCTTGCCATGCGCCAATTTGGTGTTTGAATGAATGTAGGCTGTCCCGAAGGCCATACAGGGATTTGCCAATGGCCGCGCACTGCAACCCTGCACACGGCCGCCGCCATGTTCAACATGTTACCATGCCAAGTTTCGCACCCCAGGGGTTATATTGGGGATAATCGAAAAGAAAATGCAAACTACTAAAGTAATACTGGATTTCCCTTTTAGCTTGGCTCGCTTCAATGGCAGCGACCGGTGCCACCGCGCATGGCACAGCACCGCTCAAAGCAAAAACAACTCGGTTCACTGTAAACTATTTGCACTTTAAGCCCTAAGGCACTCAACATCCCACTCGAAATCCCTAGACCCCAAGCATGTCTAAACCCTAAACCCTAGAATCCATACAGACAATAACCCTTTCCATTTTCTAAGATGCCAGCTGCCAGATTCGCCCTGGCATCATCACCTACCGGCAAGCAGGCCGAAACTTCAAAAACACTACTAAAAAATGAAAATCAGATGGAAACGAGGATCATATGGGAATGAATATGAAGATATGTGTATATATAGAGGTTTAGGGTTTGGGAATAATGGAAAATAACCGGGATTGTATAGCGATTTACCGGCACTAGGGATTCCAAAATTTCCGGGCGCAGTTTGGGACTCACTATATCAAGCTTTTTGACGCTAGGATTGGTAATGCTTTGGTGTCTATATCGGGGCCCCGCCCGTGCCGTTCAAGGGACAATGCTAAGGGTTCTCATGAAGCTTACATGGGGACTACTCAAGGGCTCCATTCCCGCATTCCTAGTGATCAAAACTATGGATCCTGTTTACAAGGGGATCTAGGGATTGTACAAGCAACGGCGCCAAAGACATGTAGTCATGTCAGGGTTCAGGGTTTCTTCAAACTGTGTGCTTTCTTTTACATCAGGGTCCTGCAATTAAGAATATTTTTCAGGGGTAGAAGTATAAGGATGACCTCTGTTTTTAGACATACTCAACTGAACATCGGAAACCGGCCTTTCTCTATTTCGCCCTTCTCGGCCTTCTTTACGGCCTGCCGCCAAATTTGATACTGTGATGAGCTGAGATGGTGATGCGGATTACCACCACTACCATCACCACCACCATCACCATCAGCACCACCACCACCACCACCACCACCACCGCCACCGCCGCCGCCGCCAGCACCGGCACCGGCACCGGCACCAGCATCAGCACCAGCGCCGGGCGCCAGCGCCAGCACCAGCATCTCCACCACGAGTACGGCGCACTGCATATGCTGACAGATGTGATTATGGCGGGCGCTCTACTCGCAATCAGAGAGAAGCGCTTGGTCAAAGCAAGCTCCACACGCCTCCATCCCGCCGGTGTCATACAGGATTTTCTTGTCCGGGTCATTCAGGATCTGACAACTGGATGCAACTTGATGATCTGATGTCACAGCTCTACAAGTGAGAACTCCCCGTTTGACATATAGTCTAAACTCCTAGTATCCCCCGTAAAAACCCTATAATACTGCCCTAGATCACCCCTTTTTGAGTTTAGACTATAGCTCATTTGATGAAAACCGCAATCCCTGAAGCGGAAGCATCGGCATGGCCTCGTAGGCATCCCGAATTTCGCCAAACTTCCTTTCAAACAATTGGGTTGCTGTCAAGGAACTTAAGCTCAGTTACCATAGTATGGGTATGTAGTAAGTAACAAGGTTTCCTTATTATAGTAACTAGAATTTCCATTCCTTAACAGCAGCCCAGACAAGCTGTGTAATAACCGTGCAACAAACGTGTTGAAGGTTTTTTGGTGTCCCACCACTCTCTAGGTCAAAAGGTCTCCTTGCTTGGGTCTTTATGCCTGTATGCAAAAGCGTATGATGGGGCTCCATAATGCACACCAATGCAGATTGGAGTTTGAATTGGGCTTGCTTCGAAGGCAAGAAGCGTTGCAGGCAAGAAGGCCGTGTGGAGTGACATGAATCACTTGCCTCTTTGACTCCTCATCGGGATTCTTATCAGGATGATACTTGATGGACAACTTCCGGTAGACCTGCCACATCAAGCTTCGCCAGTTGCTTGACTTGCGCAATGCCGCCATGCGCGAAGCCGGACCTTTTTGATGTCTGCCTCGTCCGCATCTTCCTGAAGACAGCTGCTCGAAGGCTGCGCAAAGGGAGGCTCAGGGGACTTCTTCTAGAAGTAAGCCGTAGGCGTTCAGCTGCCTTGAACTTCTCCATGCTGACCCCAAACTCAAGAACCAAACCCCAAACCCCAGGCACAGCCTGAAGGCCCAGGATCTCGTAGAGGTCCTGATCGTACGCAATGTTGAATTTGGCTTGGGCTGTTTGGCGTTTGCTGGGGCAGGTGTTACACCTCGCGTAGCCCCAGCCCTCTTGTTTGTTCCGCGAATGTCTACAATCTACGATGCCCCGAATTTAAGAATGGGTCCGTCTAATCCCTCTTGAAACAGCAAAAGTGCAGGACGTCCTCCGGCATTTCAACTCTTCTTTCTGGGAATCAACCGAATGGAGGTAACAGTGATTATGAGGAAATTCCCGGGGAAGGACAGGATCGCTCCCTGGTGTTTTAGGCGATGCGACAGGATCTGATACGCGGCTGCAGCCCCAACCTAGGCGACATTTCACGTACTGCAGCGGCCCAAACAATTAGAATGGAGCTTCTCGCGCCCAGGCTACCATAAGAAGAATAGATTGAAATTCGTGCCGAAGCATGGCACATACCACTCGCTAGCGTGCGAGCGGGCGTTCGCACACTCTAGCTGGAATGGCCAAGGGAAGCCGAAGACAGAGCCAATTGAAATCCTCACGTCAAGGCGACTGAAACCCAGTCGAAATCCAAACTTCACAGCCATAACAAAAGGCAATAGAAAGCCAACGCTCACATCCAAACCTCTCAGCAACAAGCATGTGGATGTAACCTCTGCTGTTCAGAAGCTTGTCCTTGATAGCCCTTAAACTCAAATGGGCTTCTGTAATGCCTCCCCGCTTCCAACTTAAAAGACACACCAATAGATTAAACAACAAGAATATTGCGAGCACATACAAAACAATAATGATAAACCGACATACTAGTAGGGATAATTTTCGATACGTGCCATCATGGTGCTCTATGTGGGCAACTTCACGATTTTACGAGTGCCTTGTCGAGCTCAGCGGCCTCATGATCGAAGACCTGAAAAAACACGGCTCTGTCCACAAGGGCATGCCAACATGAGGATTCAGGTATTGGGGTTCTAAATAAAAGTTTCCATTGCTCCGTTATCCCTATATAACCCTGCATAATCCCCATTATACTATAGTAGTTTCCATGTTTTCTTCCATTATCCCTATTGAAACCTATGCTGTCAGCCGGGCAACTCTCTGGAAAACAGCGGAGCATCTATCACCATCGGAGACGCGGCGGCCCCTGGCAATTCTCGTGCGGTCGCTCCCGTACACCACTTTGCTTAGCTCATCTACGCAAGCACTCTTGTTGCTTGTCTTTGCCTTCTTCATGCTTGCCGAGACATGTTTTCGCTTCAAAATCGCGAGCCCCAAGATGGACTCAATATGATAAATCTTTCCTATGGGGCTCCTACAAGGGGCCCTAACATTTGGAACCAAAGTATGATCGGGCAATATCAGTAATTTCCTTAGTCCTTAACAAACCAAGAAACCCCTGTTCGTACATACACACACATACAATCTCACCACATCATCTCATATAGCCGCTATATGCGCTACGATCTAAACTCCTAGTATCCCCCTTGATTAATAAACTCTATAATCCTCCCATATAGAAACCCCTAGATAAAGCCCCCTTTAAGGAGCTTAAATTAGACTATACCCTAAACCCTATAAACACGAAATAGTAGTATTAATCCTATTTTCCAGTATCCCTATATATCCCCTATACCATATATATATATACACATATTTTTCCCTTATTCCCATATCATCCCCAAACCCTAAACCTTGAACCTAAACCCTAAACCCAAAACCCTAAACCCTAAAACCCTAAACCCTAAAACCCTTAATCCTAAAACCCCTAAACCCTAATCCCATATCATCCCAGCCCTGCCTCATTTGCAGGCCTTGCATCTTCTGCTGGTTCTGCTCTGTGGGCGTCTCACCAACCTCAGCGGTTAAGGTTTAAGGCTTAGGCTTTAGGGTTTAGGGTTTAAGGCTTTGCAATAGAATTATTTGGGCTTCTGCGTTACCCAACATAATCGGGCACCTGGCTCAAGGTTTAGGCATTTGGGGTTGGGATTTAGTAGAGTGAGTGTTGTGGCAAAATGTTTTGGAGAAGCATTAAGCATCTTCTGATTCTGGGCTAATTGCTGCATGGACTCAGGGGCAAGGGTTGGCGACATGCCATGGCCGCTTCAAGCATGCATCGAGCATTAAACTAGATGCTCAGAACACCACGTTAAGTTGTTCTACTAGGCAGCCGAGAACCGCTTAGGAACGGTCACCACATGGCCGTGACAGAGTTGGTACACACCCTGACTGCAGGGTCCCCGAAGTTAGATTCTCTGGCCGCAAAAAAGCCACAGACGTCCTAGGTAGAGCATGTGGCAAAGTCTAGACGGGTAGGCTCTTGAGGTTCCCTGTTGCAAGGGACAAAGTTGTAGGACACCATAATCATAGTCGTATACACTTCCAACATAAGGTGGAATTATTCTATGCTAAGTATGAACCCCTTGTCCGTCTGAGTCTGTGGCTATCTCCAACTCATGGAGCCCGGCTTGACCCCAGAGCACATAGATCTGCCGGCAGCTGCGTTTACCATTCCAAAAACGCCAACAACTGCCTTTTTCGGAATTAGGGTTTAGGGTTTAGGGTTGTTAGGGTTTAGGGTTTAGGGTTTTTAGGGTTTAGGGTTCGACATTCCTGGTTCAGCCCTTGCCATTACCCTTGTACTACTTCGGAGGCATAAACATAAGCCACTGCAAGTTGTCAGTAAGCTACCTTCACATGCCAGATAACACTCCCATGGGTTCATTGTATCCCCAGCAGAAAGCGCTGAACAATCTGCACAGGTTCAGGGGTTAGGGTGTATTGGGGTTTTAAGTTTAGTAAGGTTCTATTGGGGTTATATAGTGGTACTGTAATGGACAAGAAAATGGAAACTACTATCTAGTGTTTGGCAGATTTGAAGCAACGCCATCCAGCCTTTCCCTTGTTGGCAGCCCACTTGCACTGACCACGCTGGCAGTCGTTGGTGGGAGCTTCAAAGTTTCCATCCTCCAAGGCTCATACAAGGTTGGGACCCACTGTTTGTACTAAAAATCCTGCATGACCTTAGTATACTGTAGTACCATTATTCCCAAGGTGTAAGGTGCTTAGGGCCATGCAGGATGTTTAGTATTTACCGTAAGACCTGGAATCTGGTTGCGATTTTATTGAGTATGGATTTGTGCATGTCACACACGAGGACACGTGCAAGATTGAAGACATATTTCCATCCGCAAGTAATGTTACACTCACTGTGTTGAAAAGGCATGTTTCATGCATTTTGGCAGCCCCTTTCTCTATGTCGGGGCAGTGTTTGGAAGACCATGTCTAATGCATGTTGTGGTTGGGGCCTAATAATATAGGAATATGTTGAGATTGTTTTCAATGAGACTTGAGAGATTTGAGGTGCAGAAATCGCTACTTATGTTTGCTGGTTGCTTCCGAGCCTTGTCCTGTTAGAACTCACAAGCTCAGGCTTGCAGGTGCTTAATATCTTTGAAAATAGTAGTAAAAGTTTTTAGTAGTAGTAGTAGTAGTAGTAGTAATAATAATAATAATGGTAATAAGAGTAGGAATAGTAATAATAATAGTAGTAATATTAGTAGTCATAATGTTTGAAGCCGACCAGGTTTATTTGAACTTTCGCATCCAAAACCACAAAATTCATGGTCCAAGTCGATCGGGCAAATGGGTAGCTGAATGACTGGGTTGCTGTGAACGAACAAAAACCAATATAAGGAAATCCTATTACTTACTAGATACCAATATTGTGGCAACTTAATTTGACTTCCTTGACAGCCATCCAGATAAAGGCTATGTTTGGAAACCTTCTTTAGTCTGTCAACCCTGGGGCCAGTGAGGTTCTGTGCCCCCAAGCCTTTTGATTTTAAAGATGGGCCTGACAAATCCTTTTTTCAGAAGCCCGTCCTCAAAGCTTGAGATTCTGAGGCCAAATTTAGAAGCTGAAGCCAACCAGCTTTGTCAACATTCCTTTTTCAGCGCCTTAAGAACGCTGATTGTCCACATCAATCGGGCACTTGCAATACTACCAATACCACAACTCCTACTTACTGGAACTTACTGGTATTATTACAACTACTACGACTTGTATTTGTCAGTGTACTAGACTGCAGGCGTCCTTGTTCAGGACGCCAACTTTGAAATTGTCTGGAGGCCCTCGTGTTAGGAGAGAGGGCGTCCCCCAAGATTAAGGTAGCAAGGTGCTAGGGTTTAGGGTATATTTTGGCACGAAGAAGACCCCCACATGGCCAATAGGATAAGCTGGCATTAGCCAGAGCAAGGACCTCTGGACCAGCCCTAGCCGCTGCATTGCACATGCCCTAGAGATTCGAAACAAGTCCAATTATCAATATTGCTTAGCAAGCGCATCCTGGATGTTGCCAAATTGCTATAATATGGATAGTTCCCAACATTAGTGCCCCATTTTGGTACCCCTAAATATTTGGTGCCCCAATATAACCTATAACCAAAACCTAAAATGTAAAACCCTGAACGCGTCCATAATTTCGAGAACAACCCATATGAGCCTTTGTAGCAACTTGGGGCTCCTCTTGCTTCTATGCCCCAAATTACTAGCTCACGCCTGGAGGAGTCCCAAAAACAGACTCTATGCCCTATATATCCCTATACATCCCCTATAGAACCCCTATATAACCCTATATAAAGTGACTCTATGGGAAGTCTCCAGATCAACATGCTGTGAGATCTGCTTGCTGCGTGACCGCTCCTTCTGGAATTTGACATTCCTCCAGTTGTTCCAGTTCCACTCGGTTCCTGGAAAAAAAAGGGTCAAAGGTAGTTTAGGCTTAAGGTTTATGGTATACGTTAGGTGGACCCCCCGGTAAGAGTGATTATAAGGGATAATAAGAACTATATTAGAGTCCTCTTATATTCCCATTATACCGCTATTACGTGGTGTGGGGAGTCCTCTTAAGGTATACGATCTAAGTTCCACTCGGTTCATGACAAGCGGGTCCAAAAGCCAAATGCACAACTGTTCGGCGCACATCTAACTGTGAAAGATCTGACACAGTCATCATGCTGCATAACAATCTCAGACCGAGCTTTAGACCGTACACCTTCTGAACTGGGAACTTAAGCCCCACAGCAGGGCCCAAGTCGCAAAACCAGAAAACCTTAATCCCTCAACGTGTCATCCGTGGCCTTTCATCCAAGCGAACTTCTTCGAGATTTTGTCGGAACTGATGACAGGCAACCGCGCAAGGACACATGTGAATGAGCACGGTTTGACATGCCGGAACATCCAGCGAGCGCTTGAGAAGCCGACACGCCCCTGGGCCACTTGATAGGCTTCTCTCGACGCCCACCTGCGGCTCCACAACATGCATCACCATGTTCCATGGCTAGAAGAGTGCCGAAGGAGGTTGCAGAGGCATTCAATTCCCCTTTTTCTGCCCGCAGCAGGCCGGAGTCAGGTGACGAAGGCAATGAATCAACACCGTCTGCTCAGACAGCAGCGTGAGTTGTTGCTCTTCGCGTACAAGAAAGTGCGACCCAGTGGCCCCGTCCCTTGAACATCCGATCCTTTCATAGTTGGCTGTCATATTAAGCACGCGAACGGATAAGGGCCAGTACCACCTGCAGTACGTCTGCCACGAAACGGCTCGCAGAACCTTTTGACTGGGGCTTGTCACTCTTCTTTGGCCGGGGAGAGCTGAAGCGTACTTGTCTTGACAGGAATGCCACAACTCAAGGACCACAATCAAAATCTACGAACAGTCCTTGCCTTGACGGGCCATAAGCACTGAAGGTTTACGAATCATACCGCGGAGCGTCTCGCCATGCATGCGCTTTCCGCAAGGTACATGCATCTCGTCCACTGATTGACTGGAACAGCTGACGATTGATGTTGGGCCCTTGTTCACAGCACATTGCTACAGCAACCAGATTCCCTGCTACATACACACACACACACACAC